CCCAGACACTCCCCCCGGCCCCCGCCAGGCTTCTATGCAATCATAGGCTCCCAGTGCCAAGACGGGGTTGCGATGGCCGCTCTGGGCATGTCAGAACGGGGGGAGGGGATGGATGTGCCCATACTTATTATCCCGTGTTCCTTTTTTTTTTTCCCTCGACAAAAATACTGTGTGTCTGGTATTTTTTGGGAGACCATCTGGCAACCCTACTCCCAAGCCAGGAGAGCCCTGAGTACCTTGCAGAGGCTGAGAACTGGCCTGGACCGCTGGGCCTCTGCTCCGAAGTGGGGACCTTCTTTACCTTGCCCGAGAGTTCAGCCTACGATGACCTCAAGAACCAGCAGCTAGTGTGGAGCCAGGTAGATGCTGAGGGGGAGTTAGGAAGTGGCCCAGGCTTTCAGGCTGATCTTATAACACTTTAGAGTGTGTCAGTGTGTTGCAGGCCAGAACCCCGCTAACCACAGTGGCAGCCAGGGCTGCGATTGTTAGGGCCCTGGGCCAGGACTCGGTGGAGTAGGGAAGGCCTGTGTCCCCCCTGCCACCCCACAAATCAGGTGGCAGTCTCCCCGCCCCCTTGCCTGTGGGACTACATTTGTGTTGCTGCCCCGCCCTGAAACAGGGCCTGGGCCGTACTAACTGGGGAACTGCTATATGTTGGTCTTTCTTTGCCTGGCCTGCCCTGTACTCAGGGCCCAAGGTCTGAAAGGGACCACTGGACATTTATTTACAGGCCTGAGCACAGGTCTGGGACTCAGGACTAAGCCACTCAGCTTACAGTGACCCAGGATCAGAAAGGGTTACATCACTAACAGGCTAATTGATCTGGATTCAACCTTTAGAGACATATTAAAGGAGATGTAAATGGCAATTAGGGCCATTTAGTCTTAAATAGACAAGGGCAGCGTTTCCCAAACTATGGGCCGTGGCCCGGTACTGGACCGCGGGAAAAAAATACCCGGCCTCAGCGTGCCTGGTGGCTGCCGGCAGGGCTGGCCTTAGGCCAATTCGGGCCCTGCGCCCCTGAACTCAGAAGTGCCAGCGAGTTACAGAGCCAGGGGCTCTGCTCCACCGATATGTGGAGCTGGGTCTCTTCCCCCGGCTCTGCCTGGCGCGACTCCCATCCCCTGCGCCCGTCCTCCCACCCTGCCCCCAGAGCGTCCCTGCCGTGCACGGCTCCC